GTACACAGTAAAACCGAAAAGAAAAGATTTATGAGGTGGGTTATAGAAATACAAGCTTACATTCCTTACTGTTGTTGTGTTTGTATGGGTGGGCGAGTTGGTGATGAGTGACCCTTTGACCTTTTTGTAATGTTGTCTCTTGCTGCAAATTATATATAGTAGAATTTTGCATATTGCTAGTTGCTACAAGCCTACAATTAATCCTATATTTATGTGTTGGTCCCCTGATTTTTTTTTATTCAAGTAATGTGGATATGAGTTTAGAGGTAAAACTTAATTGCACATAAAATTCTCACTATTTGTACAATTGCAAATAAACTCAACATTTTTAGCTTTAAAAATAAATACTAAAAATTTATTATGTGTTGCAAATTTGTCTCAAAATCATTTTCAGGCTAACACGAGCTGACGTGTTTGATCAAAAATCTTAAATGGCACTGATAAGCTTGCGTGGCAGACTAATTTTTCATCATCCTCCATGTGGCGATGGAACCAACAATAAAAAAAATCCTAATCACCCAAACATCATAATGGCACCCAAATATCATAATTCCCCAAAAGTAATTAGGATATTTTTTTTATTGTTGGTTTTATTGTCACATGGAGGATGATGGGTAAAAACTGGTCTGTCACGCGAGTCTCATAGTGCCATTTAAGGTGTCTGATTGGACACGTCAGGTCGAATTGGCCGGAAAAAGTTTTGAGACAAATTACAATACATAATAAAGGTTCCGTATTTCTTTGCAAAGCTAAAAAAAAAAGTTGGGTTTTATTTGTAGGTATATAAAACGTAGGATTTTATAAGCAATTAAGCCTTTAGATAATGCATATGGTACAATGTAATTTTTTTTGTATTGTTTGTAGGGTGTTGACTTTTAATAGCAACCAATTAACTAAGGTTGTGATTGAATATTGTTACAACCCATAAAGATTAATTATTTTTAATTTAAACATTCTTTTAACTAAACTCTATTACCTTTAATATTATCAATATAATCATATAATATTAATAAATTATTTCTTACACATCATATCAATTTTTTAATTCTCTATTTATTCACTCGTATAATTTTAACTAACAATTATTTCACATTTTTCTGTCTCATACTTTTACGTCAAATCAACTGTAAATATTTTATTTTAAATATTACTTTAATATATAAACTCGAAATCTCGTTAACAACTAATCATACTACATGTTTCAAAATAAACAATGGCTAACATAAAAAAAAAAAAAAAAAAAANNNNAAAAAAAAAAAAAAAAAAACAATAAAGTACTTCCACATAATTTTTAAATATTACTTTAATATATGGTTTGTATGGTTGCAAAAATGAAGAAAAAAAAAAAATAGTTACTTATAATTAATAAAGTACTTCCACATAAGTTTCTGACATGTAAAATGTGCTGTGGAAAGGGAATTTGCAAGATAACTGCAATGTATTTTTGGTGAATTGATAAATGTCAGTGTCTTAAAATAAGTGAAAATACAACTAAAGTTAAGACTAGTGAAAAGAAATTATAGAAATTTGAGGTCAACAGAAAAGCGAAAGTGAAAAAAGGTGTAAATGAAAAGCTTGGAGATTAACAATATGATTCAATTCATGACCCCAGATCAACTCCCACTGTCCAATAAATAAATACTATATTAAATAACAAAATCTAAGATAAAAATAAAACTAAGTGACACCAAAAATAGAAAACCTCAACATTGTTTAAATATTGGGAAATGCTGAAGTCCCGTTACGGAACCATTCTGTCGGAGTTTGTAACCGTGAGATTATCATGTAACTGTTAGAGATAATTGATCCAACGGCTACAAATCTCGACGGAATGGTTCTGTAACGGGACGATAGCATCTTCCTTAAATATCAGTATATTTGAAAATTCAAACCCCAAGTTAATAAAAACTTGCATAATTGGTTTATTTCAACAAACAATGGTGTTTGTGTCTCGATTTCTAAGAAAATATTACTGTTGGCTTCTGTTTTCAATATTGGTGACAAAAAATGAGAGGACAATTTGATTGACATACCAAAAAAAAAAAAAATAAAAAATTACTATTAGTTTCGCCTCAAAAGAGACGAAAGTTGGGTGTGTAAAAGTAAAGCTTAAAAAGGCAACATTGGATGCTTAAAATTAAATGAAGTTTTTCTTTGTGGGCTTTTTGCATTTGTCTAATCTGTGCTGGAAAAAAAAAATGAAATTAAAGAAAGCAAAGAAATTGAAAGTGAAAAAAGGAAAAAAAAAAAAAAAGAAAAATGGTGGATTAGATAATATATAGATACCCACAATTGTCTTAAAGCATCCAAGAGATTTACGTTTGTCATAGAATCAGAAAATAAAATAGTGCTGCAAATTGATGGTTATGGTCTTTAGGTCTTTAGGCTTCTCTTTTTGTAGTCATGTAGACCATCTTAATATAATATCAATGAATGGCCATGTAATTTCTAAGAACATAAACAATAGTCACTTTTTGTTATGAAATAACGTTTATTTCGGCTATGTTTGGTAAATTGCTTTTTCCTTAACTTATAGATGGCCAGCGTGACCTGGCCCGACCCGTGAACCGGCTCGGTCCCGGTCTTGCCCTGGCCCTACCCGATCCCGTCCCGGCCCGGCCCAGCCCACCGGGACCAAAAATAGAAAAACCGAACCTGAGAATGCCCCGTAAAGCCACGGCGACGGTTCTCAGAACCGGCAACCTACGGGCTGGCCCGCCCCGTGGCCATGTCTACCATAGTTTTTAGCCTTTTTTAAGGCATTTTAGCTGTTTGACCATATCTAAAAGCTAAATATGATGTTTGGTAACATATATAGTTGTTTCTAATAACTTTTTGGATGAAAAAACTAATTTTAAAAACGCTGGTACATGCAGCGTCTCAATATAGCTGTTGAGAAAATAACTCCACTTTCAATTTTGATGTCTAATTAGTTATCAATAAATGTTATCTAATTGGTGGTTGATTGATACACACGTCAAAAGATTACAAGTCATTTAACATGTCTTTTATTTGATGCTTAAATTAAAGTGAGTTGTGTTATTTTTTGTAAATACAAAAAATGAAAGTAAATTATATTTTCAATATAAATATAAATGTAACATAAATAGTATCATAATATATAAATATCCTAATGAATAATTTTGCACATTAACATATGATATTAAACTGCAGAATTACCAAACACTTTTTTACAAATATTTAATATATTATTTGAATTGCTTTACATAATCTTAAATACAAATAAATTAATATAATTATTATTCATATCCTAAGTAATTTTAACATAAGTAATATGATGGTAAAACATGTGAATTTCCTTATAAACAATTTTACAAATTAACAGCTAATTTTATCAAACATTATTTTATAAACTGCTAATATAATCTGCTGGTCAAAACTGCTGACACAATCCACAGATCAAAAAAGCTGACACAATCCGCTAACAGCTAACCGTTGATTGCCAAAGAAGTTTGTCCTATAAAATAACGCAATTATTTGTTATTTTCAAAAACCATTTTGAAAAGTTGAGATCCCAAAAACCGTAGTAAATGTAATTATGTCATTTCACATGGCAAAATGACTATTATTTCATAATTTCACAAAAACGTCTATATTTCATCTTTGCGTTTAGTGGTGGCCAGGTGCCGGGTCCGGGCCCGGCCCGGCCCGGCCCGCCGGGCCACGGGTCCGGAAATGGTGGAACCGGGACCGGCCCGGTTGGAACTAAGGGCCGGTTCGTAGAA